CCTCATAAACATCTGAAAACATCACTGAGGGAGAAAGTGGGCCGTGCAGCATGTGCACTTTGTGCATTTCAAATTACTAACACCAACTCTAAAATTATGTCTGGAGACAGTGCAGTAATTTTCAAAAACTTGTTGGCAGCCACCGCTCCACTGAGCTGCTCACAAGTGCAACTCACAACATAGTAAATTTTAAACCAAAGAGACGATATTAGTGGTAGAAAGATATTATCATTAGCTGTATTTCTTTTAAATTGAGCTTAATTATTGGATTTCGCTGTAACTGTAATTGCTTTTAAAGCAGATAGGAAGTGAGTACAGACATAAAAAAAAGACTTTCAATTTGTGGACAAAGAGTTTGAAAGTGTGCAGCAGGATGTGTTGGATCACCTGAAGTCACACTTCATAAGGTTAGTGCACACTAAATCCTAGGAGAACTTTCCTCCTCTTCCTACTCCAGAAGTAAATTTGAGTGCCCCGGCAACAGCTTCTGCTTGGATGACAGGAATCCCATGGTCGATTTCATACTGCATGGCCTGGACAACAAAAAAAAAAAAAAAGTACATGTATTTACATAAAGGCATTTTATTCCTTTATACTACAACCCTTCAGCCATTAACAACCGTGAACTCATTTTAAGCTATTATCCCATCAAAATGTGTAAATATGAATCTGCCTACCTGTGTGAAAGATGGAGCGTCATAGCAGCCGTACATGGCTGAAGCACGGTCGGCTCGCAGACACTGCTGAGGGAAGGAGCTGATCTGCTCTGCTAGCTCCAGCGCCGCCTGTAAAGCTGTGGTTGCAACATGAACTCAATCAACACAGTGAAAACAAATGTGCAGTGTCCATATGTTAGGAAACGTGTCCATTCCCAACACAGAGAATACACAAAGATCCCCAACGTACTGCATTTCAATGTGTTTTAATGCTGCCACTGGGCCTTCGCGTCACTTTGCCTCCTCACCCACATAAAAGCACTGGAACACATCCAGATCAGCCTTTTGGAAAAGAAACTACACCTCATGATGGCACACTCTGATCTGCCTCTCTACATGATGAAGTGCTACTTCTTCGCTTTCCTCTGATGTTAAACTTGAGCTAAGTGATCATCCTTCGCAGAGGCAATTGTGGGAAGAAGTGTTTCCTAAAAGAATTAGCTAATCTTCTTCTAACATCTAAGGATGGAGGAGGGGGAATCATGAAGACCACATGGAGATGCTTTTTTTGGATTTAAGCATAGAAGAGACTTTATGCATAAATATAACACAGGAAATGCCACATTGAAATGTGTGTGTAGCTTAATCCTGAAACGGCCGTTTGAAGGGAAGCAGACAGCACTAATGGGGATTTATAGCTCCAGTGTGGCGTTGAAGCCACAGCGCCTGCTTAACCTAACCCAGCTCCATCCATGTAGCACGTTAAAGACAGAACCATACGTTTTTGGACAAGGTCACTTTTTGCTTCTGTACAACACCACAATCAGATTTAAATCAGTCAATCAAGATGTAATTAAAGCTTTAATTACGGCTTTAATTCAAGTTAAAAAAAAATCTAATATTGAGTATCTGTTATCACTTTTAAAGCAAGAACTTTTCCCAGAGTTCCAAGTGTTTCCTCTTCCCTGAGCCTGGTTCTGCTGGATGTTTCTTCCTGTTAAACGGGGGTTTTTCCTTCCCACTGTCACCAAGTGCTTGCACATAGGGGGTTATTTGGTTCTTGGTGTTTTCTCTGTATTATTATAAGGCCTTTACAATAAAGCACCTCAAGGTGCCTGATGTGACTAATGTGACTTGGCATTATACAAAATTGAATTGTTTTATAAATTTATGATTAAATAATAAAAGTTAAAAAACAATCACTTCAAGTATTTTTAGCAACATTTTGGTGCTTGATAATTGTAAATACTCAGTGCTGGGATGCTGAGGTCTAATATCTCGTACTAAAATACACAAAATGATGTTGCTAAAACACTCAATTTACATACCTTGGCCATCAGGAACGACTCTATTGGCCAGTCCATATGCGAGAGCCTCTTGTGCTCCAACTGGCCGTCCAGTCAGAATCAGGTCGAGTGCTCTTGATAAACCAATTAGACGTGGGAGGCGCACCGTGCCTCCATCAATCAGTGGAACACCTAGAAAAGGATTTCAAATAT